GTCTCAAAAAAAAAAAAAAAAATCACGAAAGTTCAGATACTTTTATATACTCACTAGATTTGCAAAAACTGGGAAGTCTGACAATATCAAAGTTTGGCCAGGATAGGAAGCAGTAGGAGCTCTCATACACTTCTAGTGCAGTGGACATTGGCACAACCACTTTGGAAATTAGTTTGCATTAACAAATGAAGTTCCAGATAAGCTTATCCTATGACACAATAATTCTGCTCCTAAGTATATGCTGTGTGCTTATGTTTATTACAGTTTGTGTTTTACAATATTTATAACAGCATTTTTCATTGTAGCTCCAAAATGGAAACATCATAAATATCCATTAGCTGTACAAGGGAGGAATAAATTGTGGTGTTTATAAAATGGGGAGGCTGGGTATGGTAGCTCATGCCTGTAATCCTAGCACTTTGGGAGGCTGAGGTGGGAGGGTCATTGATCCCAGGAGTTTGAGACTACGGTGAGCTATGATCACGCTACTACACTCCAGTCTGGGTGATGGAGCAAGACCCTATCTCAAAAAAATAAATAAATAAAAATGAAATGGAAAATTATACAGAAATGAAAAACTAGAGCTGCAAGCAGCAACATGAAGCAAAAGAAATAACAGTGTAGTACATAAGGTATGATTCCATTTATTAAAGTTCAAAAGTGGGCAAAACTAAACTGTATTATTTAAGGATATACTTATGGGGAGTAAAACTGAAGAAAAAGCAAGAACTTGTTAAGGATGAAAGTTAGGACCGGGTGCCATGGCTCACATCTGTAATCCCAGCACTTTGGGAGGCTGAGGTGTGTGTATCACGTGAGGCCAGGAGTTTGAGACCAGCCTGGCTAACATGGTGAAATCCCATCTCTACAAAAAAATATGAAAATTAGCCGGGCGTGGTGGCAGGTGCCTGTAGTCTTAGCTACTCCAGAGACTGAGGCAGGAAAATCACTTGAATCTGGGAAGTGGAGGTCGCAGTGAGCTGAGATCATGCCATTGCACTCCAGCCTGGGCAACATGGTGAGACTCCATCTCAAAAAAAAAATGATATCTAGAGTTATCAAGTTAATATTTTGAAGTATTTAGAGGAAAAATTAATATCCAAGCCTAACTTGTAGTAGGGGTTTATTTTTCTGATTTACCTGAAATCCTACAAGAGTAGATTATAGGTGAAATTATAAAATTGACCAGAAAAGTGGGCTGGGTGCGGTGGCTCATGCCTGTAATCTCAGCACTTTGGGAGGCTGAGGCAGGCAGATCACCTGAGAGGCTGAGGCAGGCAGGAGTTCAAGACCAGCCTGGCCAGCATGGTGAAACCCTGTCTCTACTAAAAATACAAAAATTAGCCAGGCATGGTGGTATGCACCTGTGGCAACACAGCAAGACTCCGTCTCAAAAAAAAGAAAAAAGTTTTTGGCTGTATGCCCTCTTCCTTCCTGCTATTTTCTTCTTGCTCAAATCTTGCATTTCATCTCTAACTTGTTTAACGAAGATAATAGCTGCTCTCTTGACTTAAGGGGTTAATTCTTCCAGGAATTTGTATTTTAAGAGATTCTTTGGAAGACTTAAAGGGTTTATAGACCCCAAATAAAATGTCAGATGATGGAATTTAAGCTATTTTTGAAAAATGTAAGGCCATTTTTCACAAGATCACTCACTTGTAAGGTATTGTAAGTCACAATTAACCCCTGCTTGTAGAAGACCTATCAAAGAAGAGATCTCTTCTGGGTAGGAGTTGGTTTCTTTTGAAATTGACAAAGATTTAGGGCACTTTGCCTGAATTTTTGCTGTGTGAAGAGGAAATCTCTACTAATTCAGTGAACTGTAAATAATGGTAAACACTTTTAGCTGCCCATGTATGAAACAGCTAGTCTCAGCTCAGTCAAGTGAAATATAACCAACCACTAAAATATAAAACTTAGAAGTCCTTCATAAAAGAAACTGGAGGCTGGGCACTGTAGCTCATGTCTGTAATCCTAGTGCTTTGGGAGTCTGAGGTAGGAGGATTGCTTGAGGCCAGCCTGGGTCAGACCCTGTCTCTACAAAAAATTGAACCAAAACAGAAAATCTTATCTGGGCGTGGTGGTACACCCTTGTAGTCCCAGCTACTTGAAAGGTTGAGGCAGGATAATTGCTTGAGCCCAGGAGTTTGAGGTTACAGTGAGCTATGATCACGTCTCTGCACTCCAGCCTGAGTAACAGAGAGCAAAGAAAGAAGCTGGAAAAATGATGCTGTTGGCTGGGATGAAATGAGTTTCTTTGACTTAAGTGTAGATTTTAAGATCATTAGTTTGGCAAAGTTAGAAAAGATATATCATTAGACAAAAGTTCAAGAATAAGATTTCTGTTGAATTTGAAATATATTCTTTAAACAATTATTGCCAAGATTAAACCATCTCCTATAATACAAATGAGTAAAAAAAAAAAAGAATACTGGATAGCTAACTGATTTGCTAGATAATTTGTAGACCTGTACTTATAGCTAACAAAATAATTTTGAACAATTTGAACTATATTCTAGCTGTTGAATACCCAAAAGTCACTTGGTTCCAATAATTTACTAAGCCATCTCAAAATTGTGGGTAAAAACAATTGCTCCTATACTGGTTTAGATTTTAGCTCAACAATATACATAAGTGATAAAATATGTAGATACACACACACACACACACACACACACACACACACACACACACAGTCTCTCTCTCTCTCTCTCTCTCAAGTTTCAACTGCTTTCTTTTCTGAGTAGTCAGGGAAAACTTTTTGTTTTTGAGATAGAGTTTCACTCTGTTGCAAAGCTGAAATGCAGTGGTGCCATCTCAGTTCACTGCAACCTCTGCCTCCTGGGTTCAAGTGATTCTTATGTCTCAGTGTCCCAAGTAGCTGGGATTACAGGTATATGTCACAATGCCCGGCCATTTTTTGTATTTTTAGTAGAGATGATAGTTTCACCATGTTGGCCAGGCTGGTCTCGAATTCCTGACCTCAAGTGATCTGCCCACCTTGGCCTCCCAAAGTGCTGGGATTACAGGCATGAGCCACTGCACCCAGCTTGGAAACCTTTTTTAATAGGTATCAAAAATGGTCCTTTGAGTATCCTGATGTATATTTATTTGTTCTGGGTGGCCCATCTAGTCACCACATTAGTAGAAATCTTGTTTTTTATTTTAGTACACAGTTTTATGGAATTCTCACAGATACATAAGGATATGTATATAAAGGTGTTCACTGGAACATTTTAAAAACAAGAAATTGGAGATAAGCTGAAAATTTATTATAATGGGAAAGTTGTATTATGGTGCAAGGATACAATGCTATGTAATTCAGTTGTTAAAATGAATGAACTAAATGTATAGTAGGAATGTTAAAGGGCCCTCACTTCTACTGAACTAAATTCTCTCTCAGGCCTGCACTGATGGCTTCATGGGGAGTTCCCTATGATCAGTTGACAGAGCAAGAGAAAACTCAGACCTGGTTTCTGCATGGTTCTGTGTAGTGTGTGGGCGCTATCCAGAAGGGATGGGACAGCATTTCAACTCCTTCTTGGGACGTTGATGAAGGACAGTGGTGAAGGAAAATCTTCCAAGTGGGGAGAACTTCAAACAGTGCACCAGGGTGTTCACTTTGCTCACAAGGAGAAATGGACAACATGCAATTATATACTGATTCGTGAGCTATGTCCAATGGTTGGCCGAACGGTCATGGACTTGGAAGGAACGCGATCAGAAAACTGGTGAAAAGGAGGCATAAAAATGAAAAAAAAAAAAAAAAGTAAAAATGGAAGGCATATTTGGATAGACCTCTCTGAATGAATGAGAACTGTGAAGATATTTGTGTCCCATGTGAGTGTTCATCGAAGGATGTCCTCAGCAGAGATTTTTAATTAATTAAGTTTTAAGACAGGGTTTCACTCTGTTGCCCAGGCTAGAGTATAGTGGCACGATCAGGGCTCACTGCAGATTTAGGTAAAGTAGGAACATGGGATCATTGAGGCTGGACTCAGGCAATCCCTTCACTTCAGCCTCCTGAGTAACCGGGACTACAGGTGCATGCCACCACGCCTGGCTAAATTTTGTAGTTTTTTGTAGAGATGACGTTTTGCTGTGTTACCCAGGCTGGTCTTGAACTCAGGTGCTCAAGCAACCTACCTGCCTCAGCCTCCCAAAATGCTGGGATTATAGGTGTGAGACCCCATGCCCAGTCAGCAGAGGAGTATTTAAATGATCAAGCAGGTAAGATGCCCTGGTCTGTGGATACAAGTGAGCCTCTTTCTTCAGCCGCCCCGTCATCACCCATGGGTGCATGAAAATAGGGCCTTCATGGCAAGCCTGGAGGTAAGCATGGTCCCAGCAGCATAGACTTCCACTTGTCAAGGCTGACAGCTACGGCCACTGCTGAGTGCTCAATCTGATAGCAGTGAGGCCAACACTGAGTCCCTGATATGGCACCATTTCCTGGGGTGATCAGCCAGCCACCTGGTGGTAGGTTGATTACCTTGGACTGCTTCCATCATGGAAGAGGCAGCATTTTGCTCTACTGGAATAGACACTTACTTGGGATATGGATTTGCCTTCCCTGTATGCAATGCTTCAGCCAAAACTACCATCTGTGGACTTACAGAATGCCTATTCACCCCATCATCATAGTAGTTTATACAACATTGCTTCTGACCAAAGAACTCACTTCATATCAAACGAAGTGTGACAATGGGCCCATGCTCAAAGAATTCTACCATGTTCTCCAACATTCTGAAGCACTCAGCTTGGTAGTATGAATGGCCTTTTGAAGACTCAGTTACAGCACCAGCCAGGTGGAAGTACTTGGTTGGGCTGGGACAAGGTTCTCGAGGAGGCTATGCGTCCTCTGAAGCAGTGTCCAATATATGATGCTGTTCTCCCATAGCCTGGCTTCATGAGGCCAGGTATCAAGGGGTGAAAATGGGAGTGGCACCACTCACTATTACCTCTAATAATCCACTGGCATTTTTTATTCCTGTCTCCAGGAACTTCTGCTCTGCTGGCCTAGAAATCCTAGTTTCAAAGGATAAATGCTTCCACCAAGAGACACAATAATGATTTCATTGAACTGGAAGTTAAGACTGCTAGCTGGCCACTGAGGACTCCTCAGACCTCTGAATCAAAAGGCAAAGGAGTTGCTGCACTGGCTGGAGTGACTGATCCTCACTACCAAAGGGAAAATGGATGACAGTAGAGGTAAGGAGGAGTATGTGTGGAATAGGAGATCTCTTAGGGTGTCTTGGTATCACCATGTCCTACGATTAAGGTCAGTGGGAAACTACAACAGCTCAATCCAGGCAGGACTCCTAATGATCTAGACCCTTTAGGAATGAACGTTTGAGTCACTCCACTAGCTGAAGAGCCATAGCCTGCTGAGGTGCTTGCTGAAGGCACAGGAAATACTGAACAAGTAATGGAAGAAGGTAGTTATAAATACCGGCTCTGACCATGTGACCAGTTACAGAAATAAGAACTGTGTCATGAGTATTTCTTCCTTACTTTGTTATGAATATATTTATATGTGTATATATATATGTTTGTGTGTGTATATCCATATATATGCAAACATATACACACAACTATCTTTGTTTTCCTCCCCTCTTATCCGCTTGTTGTATAGCATAGGATGTGTTGGCTTTGCATTGCAGAATTTAAGTTACGTTGTTTCAAGAAGAGTGCACATCACCTAACAGATTTGCATCCTCTCCTGGGGAGAGAGTTAGTACAATTTCAGTTGAATACAGGATGGTTGTATCATGTTAGGCAGAATTAAAGTCTTGTTGCTATCTTTATTTGGAGATGAAGTAGGGTTTAAAGAGATGGCTATGAGTGTCAAATTGACCAGGGCGAGACTTGTGATGGTTAATTTTATGTGTCAACTTGGTTAGGATGCCCAGATGTTTGGTCACCAGTCTAGATGTTACTGTAAAGTTGTATTTTAGATGTGAATTAGTATGCTTTGAGTAAAGCAGATTGCCTTCCATGATGCGGGTTGCCGAGCTATACATACAGTAAATTTCATTTTTATCAAAAATTTATGTTCAAGCATATACACAAATACTCATGGAAAAAAGGTCTGGAAACAATGTACAACAATTATTTCCTTTGGGGAATTAAATGGAAGTTGAGGTAAAGAAAGGGTCATGGCTGGGCGCAGTGGCTCACGCCTGTAATCCCAGCACTTTGGGAGCCGAGGCGGGCGTATCACGAGGTCAAGAGATCGAGACTATCCTGGCCAACATGGTGAAACCCTGTCTCTACTAAAATCACAAAAAAATTAGTTGGGCATGGTGGCGTGCACCTGTAGTCCCAGCTACTCGGGAGGCTGAGGCAGAAGAATTTCTTGAACCCGGGAGGCAGAGGTTGCAGTGAGCTGAGGTCATGCCACTGCACTCCAGCCTGGCGCCTGGTGATGGAGTGAGACTGTTTCAAAAAAAAAAAAAAAGAAAGGGTCATATCTTTCCTTTTTTTTTTAACATAATTGAGACAGGGTCTCACTTTGTCCTCTGGGCTGGAGTGCAGTGGTGCAATCTTAACTTGGCTTACAGCAGCCTCAACCTCCCAGGTTCAAGTGATCTTCCTACCTCAGCCTCCTGAGTAGCTGGGACTACAGGCATGTGCCACCACACCAGGCTAATTTTTTGTAGAGATGGGGTTTCACCATGTTGACCAGGCTGGTCTCAAATTCCTGGGCTCAAGTGATCCTCCTGCTTCAGCCTCCCAAAGTGCTGAGAGTATAGGCATGAGCCACTGCACCTGGCCTCCATTTTTATTTTTACAATTTCTCTAATTAAAATCACCCCACCCCCCACAGTGCATTCTTGCATTTGTCCTTTATTCCAGGGGAAGATACTACTTTTCTATATTTTGATTGTATCTTGATTAAGAATATCAGTTATCACCTTTAGGCTGACAAATTTTGTTTATCAATACTCACCTACAGCTCTATGCTGGAACCAGCACTACTTGATGCGTCAAAAGCACAGATATTCCATGGCCATCTTTCCTCCAATCTGCAGGCTGTAGAAGTGTGCAGAATAAGGCTAAGAATAATGTAGCTTGTTTGAGACTCACTATTTCATGATGACTAAATTTAGTACCATAAATTATTAACAATGTGTTGTATTTTTTTTCTTTTGAGACAGTCTTGCTCTGTCGCCAGGCTGGAGTACAGTGGTGTGATCTTGGCTCACTGCAGCCTCCACCTCCCGGGTTCAAGCGATTCTCTCACCTCAACCTCCCGAATAGCTGGGATTACAGACACCTGCCATCATGCCCAGCTAATTTTTGTATTTATGTAGAGATGGGGTTTCATTATGTTGGCCAGGCTGGTCTTGAACTCCTGACCTCAGGTGATTTGTCTGCCTCAGCCTTCCAAAGTGCTGGGATTACAGGCATAAGCCACTGTGCCCCGTGCAATATGATGTATTTTGCGTGAGTACAGATAACCTTTTATTGGTAGTGTACTTACATTCTTGCAGATTGGGCTCCCCAGCCGTAGACTCAGAACTTAACATGCAGGATGTTTATTAAGGAGTACCCTTGGGATCCTAACTTGTGGAAGGGGTGTGGGGGAGAGAAGTGGAGGGATAAATCCAGCTGTGATACACACCAACCACAGTCTCGGCCAATCCCACAAGAAGCGCCGAGGCTAGCATGGCCCTTTGGGATTGTCCTAAGTTGGCCTTAGATGGCCAAGTCTTTCTATTCCTTCATTGTCCAGTCATTGGATATGGGCCACCTTGGAAAGGGTGTGACTTTGGGCAAGGTTGCTCTCTGCTTCTGAGTCAATCTGGGAAGTGAATATGTGACTGCTGAAGGCTAATCGAGTTGCTAACGCAGGGTAAGGCTATCTACCAACAGAACTAGCATCTGGGACAACTATTCCTTCATTGAAGACACATCTGAGTGGTTATTCCAACCTCATGCACCCTTCTTATTTTTGAGATCAGTTTCTCAGACATTATGTGTCTTTTTTTTCCTCTCTTCAAAATATATGTAATATGTATCAGTATGATAATTCGATGAGAAAATATGAAATCCTTATGGTTTATTAAATGCTAGCTATCATTATAATTATTAATATTGTTATTCTCACTTAGCAGATGTCTTGACAAGACGTGGTATTGTTTCCCAAGCTTTTGTTTGTTTGTTTGTTTTAGAAAGAGAAAGCGAAAGGGGGAGAGAGAACAGGAGTCTTGCTCTATTGCCCAGGCTGGAATGCAATCTAGAAATAGGTATCAAAAACCTCCTTTATGCCGATAATTGTGCTTTACAGCAGAGACAGGAAGGAATAAGGGAAGAAAATAACAAGCAAACAGCAAACCAATATTTCATTTAAGTTTGTGAAATGCTATGCAAATGCTGAAGAGTGATTTACTTCCAATTATGTGATCACTTTCAAAATAGGTGTAAAGTGATACTGAGAAAAATATATGTTCTGTGGACCTGGGGTGAAGAATTCTATAAATATTCACTGAGTTTACTTGTTCCAGGTCTGAGTTCAAATCATAGATGTCCCTGTTAATTTTCTATCTCGCCAATCTGTCGAATATTAACAATGTGGTGTCAGTCTCCTGCTATTATTGTGCGGGAGTCCAAGTTTCTTTATAAACCATTAAGGACTTGTCTTATGTATCTGGGTGTTCCTATATTGGGTGCATATATATCTATGATCATTGACTCCTATTGTTGCATTGATCCTTTTACCATTATGTAGTGTCCTTCTTTGTTTCTTTTAGTCTTTGTTACTATTAAAGTCTATTTTGTCAGAGACGAAAGTTACAACTCCTGTTTTTCTTTTTTCTCTCCATTTGATTGGTAAGTCTTCCACCAACCCTTTGAGTTCTTGTGTGTCCTTGCTTATGAGATGGATCTGGATACAGCGTACCGATGGGTTTTGACTTTTTATTCAATTTGCCTGTCTGTGTCTTTGATTGGGGCATTTAATCCATTTACATTTAGGATTAATGTTGATATTTGTGAGTTTAATATTCTCATTTAATGCTCTCTGGCTATTTTGCCCATTAGTTGATATAGATTCTTCATTATGGAGATACTCTTTACCTTCTGGTAAGTTTTTGGGATGACTGATACTGGTTGTTCCTTTCTATGTATAGTGCTTCTTTCAGAAGCTCTTGTAAAGCAGGCCTGGTGGTAATAAAATCTCTGAGTGCTTGCTTGTTCGCGAAAAATTTTATTTTTCCTTCAATTTTGAAGCTTAGTTTGGCTGGATATGAGATTCTAGGTTGAAATTCTTTTCTTTGAGGATATTGAATATTGACTCCCACTCTCTTCTAGTTTGTAGGGTTTCTGCTGAGAGATCTGCTGTGAGTCTGATAGGCTTCCCTTTATGGGTAATCTGACCTTTCTCTCTAGCTGCCCTTAAAGTTTTCTCCTTTATTTCAACCCCTGAATCTAACGATTATGTGTCTTGGGGTTGCTCTACTTGAGGAATATCTTTGTGGTGTTCTCTGTATTATCTGGAGTTGATTATTGTCCTGCCTTACTAGGTTAGAAAAGTTTTTCTGAATAATATCCTGAAGAATATTTTCCAGCTTGGATTCATTCTCTTCATGACATTCAGGTACACCTATCAAACGTAAATTAGGTCTTTTCACATCATCTCAGATTTCTTGGAGACTTTGCTTATTCCTTTTTACTCTTTCTTCTCTAATCTTGTCTTCTTGTTTCATTTCATTAAGTTGGTCTTCGACCTCTGATATCCTTTCTTCTGCTTGATCAATTCGACTGTTAATACCTGTGCATACTTCGTGGAGTTCTCATATTGTATTCTTTAGTTCCATTAATTCATTTATATTCCTCTCTAAATTGTCTATTCTCGTCAGGATTTCGTCAAACCTTTTTTCAAGATTCCTAGTTTCTTTACATTGGGCTGCAACATGTTCTTTTAACTCAGAGAAGTTTCTTATTATCCACCTTCTGAAGCCTAATTCTGTTAATGGAATGCACTCATTCTTCATCAGGCCTTGTTCCCTTGTTGATGAAGAACTGTGATCCTCTGTAGAGGGAGAGGCATTCTGATTTTGGGTATTCTCAGCCTTTTTACACTGGTTTCTTTCCATCATTGTAAATTTATCCACCTGTCATCTTTGTAATTACCGACTTTCAAATTAGGTCTCTGAGTGGACGTCCAACTTGTTGATTCCCAGTGCCGGAATCTGAACAACCCACTG